ACACAATGTAAAGGGCAATAGATATTTTCAAATTATGAAATACGATAAAAATGGAGATATGAGGTTTTGGTCTGACAGCAGCGATATGATCCATGTTTTATGCATGTCATCAGACATATATAGGGTTATACATATATGTCCAATATCGGATACTTACCTATATGTTCAGTACATGTAGGACCATATATTTTGAAATATGTGCCTAACCCTATATGATATGTGCATATATATATGTATATGTATGTTAGCTATGCAACATTCAATTGTGCATTTTTATAGACAACAGTACCTCATACAGTATTAACTGTATGCCCAGCTGCCTTCAGCAGTCTCGTGGGGTGAGAGAGTGAGACATGTCACGCCCAGACGAGAGCTCATTCCTGCAGCTGCTGTGAACTGTGTTCCAGAACTGAAGTCAGGACGTCTAGTTTACACTAGAGCAGAGGGTCTAATGTGGAAAGAATTTGCGAGGCCCATCCATCCCCCTCTCTGTTTCTCTTTTACACTCACTTTTCCTTCTCTCCCTCTCTTTTCTTTCACTCCTATTTTGCCTGGTCAGTCCAAGCACAATCTCTCATATCTCCCTCCCCCCACATACATTGAGCAGCCTGCCAGATTTAGCCTCGCTGCTCTGCCAGCATTAAAGAAGCTATTAAAATCTGCTCTCCTCTTAAGCCAACTCGGGCTGAGATGTCAAGGCCTGGCTAAACTGCATGCCTGTGTCTGCTAATTTCACATAGGCATGACCAGGGCTGGACAATCCGATAGTTGTAGTAGGTGGGCGTGCATGTACATGTTGGTCAGTAAGATGAATCAGCATGTGGAAGTGGAGCTTTCTGTGAGCTACAGTGTTTCCTATCACTGTATAAAAGAAGCTCCGTGCTGCCTTTATTGCTGGATGCACTGCAGTGGTTTCTGAGCGAACTTAACAGTGAAACACGTTATTGATTTCTTTCACAGTAACAGTAAAGGTGTTTTTCCACTACACAAAATACTGAAAGTTGTAGAAAGCCAGAAAACTAGAATTGTGCTTTTCCCCCCCGTTGGCCGTCGGCCTGGTAACAAAGGTTCCAGCTTTGTTTTTTGGAACCTGCTTAAGATTAGTACCCTTTGTTTCATTCAAAGTGATTTCTGAGTTGAATATCACCAGTTAATCTGCATGTAACTACATTGTGGCATGTTCTCGTCCCCTGGGCCCTGATGACGGCCACGAGAGCCGGCAGGAAGGCCGGGCCCGAACTCCAAGCCCAGAAGAAACCCAGCGAAGACAGCGGGGAGAGAATGAAATCCGCGAGGGAGTGGTGAACATTGCGCGAGTCCCGAGCCCCGCCTCCTGGGCACCGCCTCCGGCCCCACGGCGAGGCCATTTTAATTTGCCTCATGTCCGATTCTAGTGGACGAGTGCATGGCACATCCAATTTTTTATGTATTTATTTTTTTAAGATTTAATGGTTTAGGCTTGCCTCTATATTACGTGAATTTTTTTCAGTTTGAGTGGACAAACTTTTTTTTCCCAGTGCAATAATCTTAAGCAGGTACCAAAATGATTTTTTTTGGATAGGGTGTTTTAAATCCAGCATGACCTAACGCTACCCGAGGGTTTAGTAATGGCACCCTCTGTCTTTTCTAACACTTTTAGCTGAAACCATCGACAAATTTCTTACTCTTCCAGTTGAAGAAAAAGTCGCCAAGTACTGTTACATCGTGAATAAGAGCTCCCGAATGTAAACTATGATGGTATGCTGTTGTGTCGATCGCTGTTTTTAGAATTATACAGTTTAAAAAAGTTTGCTAAGGTGACTACCCTGCTAGAAAAACCAGCAGAGACCTGCATAGCTAGTCACCAGCAAAACCAGCATATTGCTGTTGTCGGAAGAAAACCTTGTATCTCCAAAATGGTAACTTTACAGGAGAAGGAAAAAACATACTTTACTTTTAATGTAAGTCAATGGAACCAGACTTTTTTCCGAGTCATTTTGAGTCATTTCTTTTAGTCCATTCATCATGAAATGTACACACAATGTAAAGGGTAACAGGTATTTCCAAATTATGTCAAAAACAGAAAAACGTCAAAAATGGAGATATGAGGTTTTCTTCTGACAGCAGTGATATGGTGTGTTTTAGGTAGTTAATCAGCCAATTTGAATCCTTCAGAGTGGCCAAATGACCAAAAAGACAAGAGAGTCATTAATTGTGATTATTATGATGGTACTAGTGTCTCAAGCAGGTCTAAAATGATCTAGAACTAGAACCAAAAGTTCTGTTGTTTCCCATTCTTTGTTTTTGAATATGCAGTTGAAAACATGTAACAAATCTTATTAGCATTTGCATTTATTCTAATATTCTAGATGCACTGGCTGCCCAGATAAATAGTTTTAAACATTTTTTTTCCACCATATCGTCCAGCCATAGTCATGGCCACATGGTTGTGAAACAGACATTTCTGCTAGAAAGCAGCTGTGCAGCAGATTTGTGTTCCATAGTGTGGAGGTGTTCCAGCAGACGGATGGATGGATGGTGCCACATGTGCAGTGTGGAGGCCCAGGCCTGGCTCTGTTCCTGCTGCATTCACGTCTACAGCAATGAGGAAAATCTGACCTCACTTCTTATAGAAGGCTTATACCGCGTGTACTACTCCCTCATCATCTCAGCTACAGTTTTAGACCCCGCTTCAGAACCACTTCAGGAAAATTACACACATCGGCCCCTCACTGTTTAGCTGTATGATTCAGTGCCCGCGCTGATTCGATGCCCATTTCATCAGTAAAAAGGGAAAAAGTGAAACTCAAGTGGAAACAGATGTTCCTGTATTTACAGACCGCTGGTATGGTCTAATCAGAGCGGCCCACTCTTAGGAAACTTTTGGTTCCTTGACAATGAACCCTGTAACCCTGGTCCAGGTTCCAAATGTTCCAGTGTTCCTGCAGGATTAAAATGATTATTTCCATCATTTTCTCCCTTTACTCCAAATGTAATCAGACACATTTGGTTTTGGAAGTTTTTTAGTTTTGAACTGGTAGCTGGGAGGCTAATGTTGCTAACAAGCAATGGAAGCTTATGCACACCAACTAACATGGTGCTAACTACATGCCTAAATCATCCCACTTGCCTCAAACTGTGTAGAGTTGTACAGTAATTTCAAATGGACTTGCTTATGTGCTTTCTGACAGTGTATGATGGGGCCGCACAATAAACGATATGGGTATTGTTATTGCATTATTAAAGGGCTGCAATGACAAAACGGATCAAATTACATGCACAGAGACAAAGTGACATAAATGGGTGGGAAAGTAGCATTTGAAGCCCACCAAGTGCTTCCATGTGTCCAAGTCGAGTCATGAGTTAAAGGTGACTGTGAGTCAAGTTATGAGTCAGTTAAAGGTGAGAAAAAGTCGAGTTGCAAATCCGTTAAGAGAAAGTACAAGTCGATTCACGAGTCAGTTAAGGTTATGTCCAAATAAAGTTGTGAATCAGTTAAAAGTGAGTCGTAGTCGAGTCGTGAGTCAGTTAAGGGTGAGTCCGATTTGAGTTGCAAGTCAGTTAAGGGTGAGTCCTAGTCGAGTCGTGAGTCAGTTAAGGTTGAGTATGAGTTGAATTGTGAGTCAGTTAAGGGTGAGTCCGATTTGAGTTGCAAGTCAGTTAAGGGTGAGTCCTAGTCGAGTCGTGAGTCAGTTAAGGTTGAGTATGAGTTGAATTGTGAGTCAGTCAAGGGTGAGTCTGATTCGAGTTGCAAGTCAGTTAAGGGTGAGTCCGAGTTGAGCCGTGTCGGTTAAGGGTGAGCCTGAGGCGAGTCATGAGTCAGTTAAAGCTGACTGAAGCCCATCAAGTGCTTCCATGTGCTGGGTAACTTAATCATTTGCTTAAGTCTAACTGGAATAAACAGCTTTTTAAGGATTTAAGGGGGAATTCAACTGATTTCTCAGTGTCTACATTGTTTAGTGGTTAAGATGTAAACAAAGTCATTCAGAGTGGTTTGGTGTGAGATACTCCATTCTAAGATGGTTCTTCAAGTGTTCTTTAGTAAAGAAAATGGTTCTATATAGAACCATGAACACTCAAAAAACCTTTGCATGGTTAAAGGGTTCTCTGCATTGTGAAAAGGTTCCTAAGATTAATGGTGAATGTGCTGAAGCTGGTGCTATATAGAAAAGGGTTTTTGAAAAGGGTTCTATATAACACCAAAAAAGGGTTCTTCTATTGTTACGATGTCAAGCTTGTAACCGTGGCATAACCCTTTTTGGTGTTGTATAGAACCCTCTTCAAAAAGGTGCTATAGAGAACCATAGACAACACACTCTGCAAAGAACCCTTTAATCATGCAAAGGTTCTTTGAGTGTTCATGGTTCTATATAGAACTATTTTCTTTAATAAAGAACCCCCGAGAAACCATCTTTTTAAAGTGTGTAGAGAAACTTAGCCAGAATGGTTCAGTGGTGGTGATAGGAACCAGACGTCCACCTCTCAAGGCCCCCTTACTGAAAGTTATTACATGAAGTGGTTATGAATTCACTGCCTGATGTCTGAGACACTGTTTTAAAATAGTTTTAAGAAGATTTTGGCCTAAAATGTGTTTTTCCAAATCCTTTCATGGTGGAGGGATACATGCAGGGTGTTGTGAAGCAAAATAGTCCCCAAAGAAAACTTATTGATTCAGATTTTTCACAATTTTAACATCAACATTCCATATAAAGCTCAGAATATATATGTAGGTTCACTGGTGGTTTTGGATAGTAAATAAAATGTCTATATTTGTGTTGTAGTCATGGCGACCCCTGGTTCCTATCACCACCACTGTGAAGAAGTTAGTCAATCAGTTTTTCTATAATGAACCACTTATGTCTGCTGATCTGATCCCAATATGTATCTGATTTTCTCTGATGAATAAATACATTTAGAATGACCATCTATAAAAACGGTCAAAGCTACAGGCGAAATTCAGTCTTCTAGATAAATTATTTATTTTGGATGTCATGAGATCTTTCTGTTTGTTTCCGTAACAGGCTGTGGTCGTGGAGAACATGTCCTTTAAGGTGGGGCAGACCCTGACCATCACTGGGGTCCCCACCGCCGATTCCACCAAGTGAGTATTGCATACGTTATCTGCCCAAAAATGTCCCGACAGGCCTTCTAATGAGTAAATTCAGATACTTTCAGGTCACCCATTGCTGACAGAGTAGTTCAACTGCGCACTCTCAGCTTGTATAATCTGCCCTGAAAAGCACTGACCAATAGAACGCAGCACTCTGAAGCAGCTGCACTGGACTGGCAGGCCAGTTCTGATTCTGATTCTAGTTGTTTGCTTATTATATACATGTGGAACATATATACACATTCTTATCAGGCACCTGAGAGACGTTATCAAGTGAATTCATTTGAGTCTGAGATTTAAGTCTTACAAAAAAAATCTGTGTGAAGGACAGAACTGAAGCACGACACACAGTAAATGTGGTGTTTAAAGAAAAGAGGCAAAACAACTCGAAACATTTGGTGGGCCTGAGATTTATATAGCATGCAGTAGCCGTATAGCGCAATAGGTCGGCTGAAGGTTTAGGAATTTAACTACCTAAAACTTCGGCTAGTTTAGCTGACAACTTCAGCCAGTGTGCTAACTAGCATGCTTGCTACACAAACTACAGAGTAACCGTTTCAAGATGCTGTGCTTCTTTCCTTTAAACACTGCAGTGGAGTCGAGTTGTGAGTCAGTTAAGGGCGAGAACAAGTAGAGTCGTGAGTCAGTTAAAGGTTAGGGGGAGTGAAGTTGTAAGTGAGTTAAGGGTGAGTCCGAGGCCAGTCACAAGTCAGTTAAAGGTGAGTCCGAGTGGAGTTGCAAATCCGTTAAGAGAAAGTAGAAGTCGATTCACGAGTCGGTTAAGGTTGAGTCCAAATGAAGTTGCGTATCAGTTGAAAGTGAGTCCGAGTCGAGTCGTGAGTCGGTTAAGGTTGAGTACGAGTCAAGTCGTGAGTCAGTTAAGGTTGAGTCCGAGTCAAGTCGTGAGTCGGTTAAGGTTGAGTCCGAGTCAAGTCGTGAGTTGGTTAAGGTTGAGTCCGAGTCAAGTCGTGAGTCGGTTAAGGTTGAGTCCGAGTCGAGTTGCAAGTAAGTTAAGGGTGAGTCCGAGTTGAGTCATAAGTCACTTAAAGGTGACCGAGTCAAGTTGCAAGTCAGTTAAGGATGAGGTCGAGTTGCGAGTCAGTTAAGGATGAGGCAGAGTCAAGTCGTGAGTCAGTTATGGTTGAGTACGAGTCGGGTCGTGAGTCAGTTAAGATTGAGTAAGAGTCGAGTCGTGAGTCGGTTAAGGTTGAGTCCGAGTCGAGTTGCGAGGCAGTTAAGGATGAGTCTGGGTCGAGTCAGTTAAGGGTGAGTCAGAGTCGAATCGCGAGTCAGTTAAGGGCTAAGAGTCCAAGTTAAGTCAGTTAAAGGTGACTGAGTCAAGTTGCGAGTCAGTTAAGGGTCCAAGTATAGTCATGAGTTAGTTAAGGGTGAGTACGCGTCGAGCTGCAAGTCAGTTAAGGGTAAGTTTGATTTGAGTCATGAGTGAGTTAGCGGTGACTGCGAGTCGAGTCACGAGCCAGTTAACAGTGAGTGCAAGTCGAGTCACAAGACAGTTAAAGGTGAGTGCAAGTCGAGTCACGAGCCAGTTAAGGGTAGAGGCGCTGACTCTCTAATGCACCTCTAAATGTACACAGCTTATTTCCTCTTTTCTCTGCAAGGTTAATAAAATGTTTCTGCCTGTTTGCAGTTTTGCTATCAACATTGGGAGCGGCGCGGAGGAACTGGCCCTGCACATGAACCCTCGCTTTGATGCCCACGGTGACCAGCGCGCGGTGGTCTGTAACTCCTACCAGGGGGGCAGCTGGTGTCAGGAGCTCAGAGAGGGGGGCTTTCCCTTTAATCAGGGCGAGGAGTTTCAGGTAGGACCACAGAACATCAGAGAAGATGAAGAGTAATGCTCATCACAATGATTGCTGTATTTGAAAACGTGAGTTCCCTCCATAATGATTGATGGGGTGAAGAATGAAAGGGCTCTTTTTCCTCTTCTCTCTTAGGTAAAGGTCACATTCACCAATGAGGAATTCACCATCCATCTGCCGGATGGGTCCGAGATCCATTTCCCCAACCGCCCGGGCGCTGAGAAGTACAGATACTTGAAGTTTGAGGGCGAAGTCAGAATCCGAGGCATCGAGATCAAGTAGACCCGTCATAGATGTTCCTGCAATGTTCCGTATTCCCATCAGTGCATCTGCTGCCTTAGCTGTGTTCTTATCCTAAACCACTAGAGGGAACATGACTGCAGTAAAACGACTAGCGTTTCTCCAGAGATGCTGGTGAAAGAATGAAAAAGGCGTCTTTCATTTCCAGAGCTTTTCCTCACAGCCTTTAACATCATGTGCTAAAGCCATTTCAGATACAAAGCAATGTCATTCGAAAAGTTTTGTAACTGCAGCTGAATTAAAAGATCTGTGGCAAACGATGCTGTTGTTCCTTTGCGTAAATGAACGTGTCGGAGGGAGAATGAACAGGCATCGCCTCATATCATTAATGTGGCAAGTGAATTAAAGCCAGTGGTGGGAACAAGTCACTAAGTGGCAAGTAACAAGTAAGTCTCAAGTCTTGACACTTGAATCCCGAAGTCCTAAGTCAAGATATTCGAGTCTTGATTCAAGTCCCAAGTCAGGACAGGCGAGTCTCGAGTCAACAGTCCTAATCTTTGAGTCCTAAACAAGTCATTCTTCAGCTAATTTCAGGCCTTAACACTGAAAAATGGTAACAGTATTATAGCCTTTTAATGACAGCATATTAGCAGTGTGTGGCTGTATAATATTATTATTATTATTATTATTATTATTATTGTTATAATTTTTTTTTACCCTTCCAACTAAAATGCAAAATCCATGGTACACAGATAACCATGACAGACACGCTGTATACACAAAGAGCAGTGCAGCTACACATAAAGAAATGTTAAACGTACTACTGATCTTACAAAACAATAAATTATATATTTTTGAGAACATATGACTAAAATAAAAACTAGCTCAGCACTAAAAGCTCAGGCTAGTTTGAACTGAATTTGGATGACAACAGAAACCAAAACGACTGAGCTGAAGAAAGTTTACAGAGAAGACAGCAAAATGATGGTGAATGTACGAAGCTGAACTTTTTTCGCCAGCAACTTCTTATTTGAATTTTCCATTCCACCTTAAAAGGTGCTGCAGTTACATGCCGGTGCCTAACTGCTGCACCATTTAAGGTGGAATGGAAAACTCAAATAAGAAGCTGCTGGCGAAAAAAGTTCCACATTTAAGTTTAAGGTGGAACGACAAATTCATGCAAGTGGAATCGTAAGTCAGTTAAGGGTGAGTCCAGGTCGAGTCTTGAGTCAGTTAAACGTGACTGTGAGTTGAGTTGTGAATCCGGGTCGAGTCAGGAGTCAGTTAAGGGTGAGTCCAGGTCGAGTCTTGAGTCAGTTAAACGTGACTGTCGAGTTGCAGGTGTGTAAGGGTGAGTCCGAGTTGAGTCATGGGTGAGTCAAAGTGGAGTTGCGAATCAGTTACAAGCGAGAATGAGTCAGTCAAGTCGCAAGTCAGTTAAAGGTGAAACAGAGTCGAGTTGCAGGTGTGTTAAGGGTGAGTCAGAGTTGAGTCATGAGTGAGTTAAAGGTGACTGAGAGTTGTGAACTTTTTTTGCCAGCAGCTTCTTATTTGAATTTTTTCGATTCCACCTTAAAAGGTGCAGCAGTTAGACACCGGAATGTAATTGCTGCACCTTTGAAGGTGGAACGATAAATTCCAATCTTAAGCTGCCGAATAACAACTCAACTTCAGCCTCGTGGTGAATGTTGGGCTTGTTTTACCTGCAGAAGCTGTTAAAATCAGTCAAACAGAGAGACGCTGTGTTTCTTTTCTTCTACTGCCATGAAGAAAACGGTCAGTTCGCCTGGTGAGTTTCTCCAGTAAGACTATAGTTTAAGTGCTGAGTGAGGGCGCATTGATGCTGTTAATGGAGGTGATGAAGATGAACTCAGCGCTTCTCTCGTCTTCTGAAATAAAATAAGCTGAGTATAAACACAGTGACAGACGTCTGACGACGCTGCTGTTTATTCGGTTTACGGCATTAAACAATCCATTCACATGAAAAGTAACCGACTGTGTATCAGTCTGCAGTCTGACTTTCCACGTTTCTTCCACTTTGGATCTCAAGTCTTTCCGAGTCATAAGGCTGAAGTCCGAGTCGAAGTCCGAGTCACTGGCGTGGTCAAAGTCAAGTCACAAGTCTTTCTCGTTTTTCATTCTCAGCACTGCAGTAACACTGACGTGGTGGTGGTGTGTTAGTGTGTGTTGTGCTGGTCTGAGTGGACCAGACACAGCAGTGCTGCTGGAGTTTTTAAACACTGTGTCCACTCACTGTCCACTCTATTAGACACTCCTACCTTGTCAGTCCACCTCATAGATGTAAAGTCAGAGACGATAGCTCATCTGCTGCTGCACAGTTTGTCGGTCATCCTCTAGTCCTTCATCAGTGGTCACATGACGCTGCCCACAGGACGCTGCCCACAGGATGCTGTTGGCTGGTATTTTTGGTTGGTGGACTATTCTCAGTCCAGCAGCGACACTGAGGTGTTTAAAAACTGCAGCAGCACTGCTGTGTCTGATCCACTCAGACCAGCACAACACACACTAACACACCACCACGTCAGTGTTACTGCAGTGCTGAGAATGATCCACCACCCAAATAGTACCTGCTCTGTGAGGGTCCATGGGGGTCCTGACCACTGAAGAACAGGGTAAAAGGGGGCTAACAAAGTATGCAGAGAAACAGATGGACTACAGTCTGTAACTGCAGAACTACAAAGTGCACCTATATAGTAAGTGGAGCTGATAAAATGGACAATGAGTGTAGAAACAAGGAGGTGGTCAGAATGTTATGCCTGATGGGTGTATAATACATTTTAAATAGCCTTCCTGTTTCTTGACTGAAGTTCCTTTATCGGAAATGACTTTCACTTCCAGTTTTTTCCAGCTTGAAGATGACTTACATGAAGATGAGAGACGCTCTGTACTGAGCATGTGCAGCTTATTAGCGTGGGCATTAGTATGTTTTAACATTCACTGAGGTCACACAGTGGCATTTATCCCCAAAACACTCCAGTTCCAGCCAAGCTTGAGCAGATCAAGAGCAATTATCAGCTGCTCCCTTCTCATATGAATTAAACACAACTTGTAATTGTGCGGCGGAGAGTGAGAACACGAGTTACCGAGCTAGAGATGTAGCTAATCGCTCCTCTGCAGCATAAAGAGCATTACTCTATTACTAGTGATGTATGCAGGGAGATTTTCAGGTTGATTTAGTTCATTACTGAGCGAACAGGGAGATTCATCAGTCGAAATGTTTGCCCAAAGAAGTCATTTTATGGTTGTGGGTTCGTAATGGTTTCTGCCTTTTATATTAAAGGTGCCACTGCATCTAATAGCAGCTATTCCTATACAGTATCTCTCTAACGGTAACATTTCAAAACAAAGAAGACATTTTGTTTACTTTAATGTAATGTTTATTTACTCTTTAATGCAACAAGGTTTCTTCCAAGTAATTTTGGACCATTTGTGTTGGTCAGTTTCACATGGAATTTTCAGGTTCATGGCCACTGGAATTTTCGCAAGGAGCTACAAAGTTATAAGTTGGGGACTATTTTACACACCCTGCATTTACCTCGGGTGGCACGGTGGCGCAGTGGGTAGCGCTGTCGCCTCACAGCAAGAATAGCCAGGGTTTGATTCCCGGCCGGGTGACCAGGGTCGTTTCTGTGTGGAGTTTGCCTGTTCTCCCTGTGTCTGCGTGGGTTTCCTCCAGGGTACTCCGGTTTCCTCCCACAGTCCAAAGACATGCAGTCAGGCTGATTGGACATGTTAAATTGCCCCTAGGTGTGAGTGAATGTGTATGTCTGTCTGTCTGCCCTGTGATGGACTGGCGACCTGTCCAGGGTGTATCCTGCCTTCTGCCCAATGACAGCTGGGATAGGCTCCAGCACCCCACCGCGACCCAGAAGGATAAGTGGTTTAGATCATGTATGTATGCATTTACCTCTCCACCATGAATGAATTTGAAAATTATATTTCTGTCCATATACCACCTTCACCTGATTTGGAATCTATAAAAGCATCTCTCCACCAATTTTTCAAACATTCTGCTTAGTTGACATCTAAATAAAGTCATTCAGAGTGGTTTGGTTTGAAATGGTTGATTGTAGAAACTTCAGAATTGTTCACAGTGGTGGTGATAGGAACCAGGGGTCACCATGACTACAGCTCAACTATAGACATTTTATTTACTATCCAAAACCACAACCTACACATGTCTTCTGAGCTCTTATATGTAATGTTGATGATGGTAAAATAGTCATAAATGTGAAAAATAAGTTTCTCTTGGGACTATTTTACAATGCCCTGCATGTATCCCTCCACCGTGAATGAGTTTAAAAATCCGTTTTAGATGAACAACTTTCCAAAACAATCGTAAAACAGGGTGTCAGGCATCAGTGTATTTATAACCATCTCACGTGAGGGAGGTTTTAGAGGTGGACGTCTGGTTCCTATCACCACCACTGTGAACAATTCTGACTCAGTAAGTTTCTCTATAATGGTGCATTAAATTATGCAGAACATCTTAAACATTTCATTACATATACATTTGGAAAAATTGGTGAATTTGCCTGACGTTTTGGGGGAATTTTGCAGTTCAGAAGTGTCCTCCAGGGTCTCGTAAGACAAAAGCACTGCACTGCAATCATCATTGCTCCATTGCAGCAACAATTTTCATGTGAGCCATCACACTTTAGGGAAGCTTGAGGCTTTTAAGGGTGTATTGATCTCTTCTCTTATGTTTATTGTGTGATATTTCATTCTTGGTGTATATTTGCTATAGTTGCTTGAGAAGAATCAGCTAAGGTGTTTCTAATAAAGTGGCCAGTGAGTGAAAACACAACTTAGGTGTTCCTAATAAAGTGGCCAGTGTATGGAAGTGCAAAGTAGATGTTTCTAATAAAGTGGCCAGTGTATGGAAGTGCAAAGTAGATGTTTCTAATAAAGTGGCCAGTGAGTGAAAACACAAGTTAGGTGTTTCTAATAAAGTGGCCAGTGAGTGAAAGTACAAGGCACAGGTTTCTAATAAAGTGGCCAGTGAGTGGAAGGAAAAGGCAAGTGTTTCTAATAAAGTGGCCAGTGAGTGGAAGTACAAGGTAGGTGTTTCTAATAAAGTGGCCAGTGAGTGAAAACACAATTTAGATGTTTCTAATAAAGTGGCCAGTTAAAGGAAGTAGAAGGTAGATGTTTCTAATAAAGTGGCCAGTTAGTTGGAAACACAAGGTTGGTGTTTCTAATAGAGTGGCCAGTGAGTGGAAGCACAAGGTAGGTGTTTCTAATAAAGTGGCCGGTGAGTGGAAGTACAAAGTAGATGTTTCTAATAAAGTGGCCAGTG